ATGCCTCATTAAGAACGGTTCGGGTTATTTTTTGGGGTTTCTGAAAAACTCGTTTTCTAGAAAACCAGGTCTTCGAAGGGCTATGCGGAAGCCGCATGGTCGTATTCGTAATCAGCATGGTCGATAAACTATAACACACTAGATTCCGAGCAAAAAGCGTTTAATCACTTCGTGGGGTTCCCTCGTAAGTTACGCAGATTGGAGGCGGACGATTTGTTGGAATCCAGTTTACGGATTTTAGAATTGTTAAAAAATTTAAAATTCAATTTTTCTCAAAATTTTTCTGTTACACTGAAAAAAGTATTACACTCAGTACCCCATTTGGCACCTAAGGAAGACTTTTGCTAGCAAAATTTTTTCTGTATCGGACTTTGTTGAGCCACAATCAGTGGCAAGGCTCTTAAAAAATACTACTATCCGACCCAAAATATAAGACACGCAGTTGTTTTTTGAGTAACTCAAAGATGATAAAAGCTAGCGACTAGCGGTTTTGGGCAGTCGAAAGAAGACAATCTAATCTATATTTTTATAAGCAAAAACGTTGTTTGAACAAATTCGTAAAACTGGTTTTCTAGAGGAGCTCTGAAAAACCAGTTTCTAAGTCAATCATTTTACATAGCAGTCTATCGATTTTTTTCCATATATAGATAGTCTAAAGTGCCATCTACCATGCAACAAATAAGATAAACAAAAGTTTCACTTTGCTTGGTTCGAAAGCTTTGGACGTTTTCCCCGAAGCCCTGGGACTTCTCTAATCTTTGTTCTGGGATCTTCAAAATGCATGCAAAACTAGGTTATCGACCACGCTGAATCTCGTGACAATGTTAGTTATCAGAACAAAATGCAGGAACGAGTGAAAACCTGTACTAGATGAAATAGCTCATCTTTGGCTTGTTGGACCTCGGGGAAACGTCTGAAATTCCCAAAACCAAGCAAAATGAAACTTTTGCTTGAATACTCGGAAACACCGGGTTACAATAATGTCTTATGGACAAATTTTTGACAAATTTAACACAAAGAGCTAATTCACGGTTTTGTAGCGTTTGAAAATCTCTGTCGAACGTGCTTTTACTTTACGGTTTCCAACAAATCCTTAATTTAGAAATAAAAGTATAAGCTATCAGAGTAATGCTAATTAGTAGCATTACTCAACACTAATTAATTACAAATTAATACGTTAAAAACAGCTTTTTTCAACTTTTTTATGGAACTATAACTCCAGGTCATTGGCTACCAAACCACGCTAAAACGACGTTTGTACGACTAGTTTTGACGGAGCTGTAAGTTTTTCAAAAATAGGCCTAGCAATTAAATTTTTTGCCAGAATTTTATCTTAATTAATTTATAATTCTGTGAATACCTACCGGCTCTCCGAAAACAATTCAGGATATATGCAGCCAGGTGTTCTCTACAATATGAGAAGGATTAACAGTACCTTTTGCGGATGGACTTGAATTTTAACTTTTTTAATAATTTTATATTCGTAAACTTGATTTTTCTCAAAATTTTTCTGTTACACTGAAAAAAGTATTACACTCAGTACCCCATTTGGCACTTAAGGAAGACTTTTGACAGCAAAAGTTTTGCTTCGTTGAGCCACAATCAGTGGCAAGGCTCTTAAAAAATAATAATTTTCTGAAAAATCCAGCACTGGGTTAGATATCTAACATCTTTAGACTGGTTAGATTTATTCGCTAAATACTGGATAGACATCTCGATTTTTACTCATAGTGATATATAAAAATAATCACAGCTTCTTTTACAAATAGAAATTAGGAATAGTTTGTATTTAGAAAAATGCAGAATTGAAAGGGCTACAAAATAATAAGCTATAGTATGTTATTTCAAACCATAAGTTTAACAGACTTATTGACAAAATACCGAACGCATACGGTGGGTTTAACGTGTGGCAGCACAATGAATGAAGTGCAGTGGTGTAAATATGGGGAGACGCGAAATGGCTCTCATACAATAAAATACAGGAGATAACAAGCTTCAAACTGAGATACATTAGATTCTTCTAAACGTATGCCTCCACACATTTTTACATTAAAGACTCAACAACCATGATGATTGTGGCTTAACCCTTTCGGGACGGGCGTGGTATATATACCACCTGGAGTATTTCTCAAAATTTGAGGATGATATATGTTTCAAATCAATAAAAAGTAAGTGGACACAGTCTGTTGAGTACCTTTCCTATGTTGGTACAGTAAATTATCAGTACTTCTAAAGTGTCGTAAACATCCACAGTGTATTAAGTAGTTTATAACATTACATAGTGAAGTATTCCCTCACTTTATCATACATTCTTTATTTAGATTTTTCTAATACATTCTAATACGTCTAGATTGATATTTTTCCTATTCTCCTGTATACATATATATTAATATAAGAGCTTTACGTTCTCTTATCCAATCTCCACTTGCCTCAAAAACAGCCGCCCAAAGGAAGTGTCATATATGCTCTCATACAATACAACGTGAAAAAGCAATCAAATACACAAGATATCAGTGTGAAGGATGTAATGTTGGATTATGTATAACTAATTGTTTTCAAGCTTATCATACCTTAAAATACTTTTGATACTGATTTTTCATTGAATAAACATCTATTTTAACTCTAATAATAGGCTTAATTTTTTCAAAAAAAAACCCGTCCCGAAAGGATTAAAGTACGTGACAAAAGTTTAAGCTTTTTCTTTTTCTGAATTCGTATTAGGCTTCTAAGATATTCATAAGTTCATGGTGACTCCTTATCAAAGAGCCGCTTTTTAGCATCTTCACTCACTCAAAACTAAAACTCAAATAGTGCATTGTGTAGCCCCAGATGAGCTCTACGAAACTGCGTATTTAGACTGGTAAAACAAGCGAGTCTTGGAGCTGGGAGGGCCAAAGTATAAAGTCGACTGTAGGATCCATCATGGCAATCAGGTATATACCCAGCAAAGGTACCCATAAGACCGTCTGAAAATTTCTAGGATAGTTTAATCGACTCAGCTTTTTACGCCTGAATATGTTCTTATGTTTAGACTTTGGTTAACAAGTGGTACGTAAAATAATAAAAACTGAAAAAGAAAAGGAAAAATGACCTTAAAATTGAACTTCAGATTTTCATGCAAGATCATTTTGGGGTACTTCCGCACAGGTCCGCCCAGTATTACATGAGCTAAAAGCCGGGAAGGTTTGACTATATGCAATCGATAGTCCTACTAAGGGTATGTAAAGGCCTCTGTCGCCGCATAGAAAAATTATTCTGAACACGGTTTTTCATCGGCTATAAGTTCTGAATTGAAGCGTTTTTAGGGGTGCCAGAAGAGCGAAATCTGACCTTATCTGGTCCTATCAAGCGTTCTCATACTACTAGCTGGAAAGAGCATACAAAGTTGCATATTTCTATCCGCAAATGAGATTTTCTCTTCTGACATTAGGAAAGAATTTTTGACTGGAGGACCTTAACTGCATTAGCAGATATCACTCGTTTTATAGCGCGATGGACGAGCTCAAAACCCAACAAAACATAACTTTATTTATATTCAAATGAAAACGGCTTCCAAGTTTGTTCATATGACGCAATAATGAAGTCTCTAGCACTTTTAATTCTTTATGGTAAGCGTAGCCGTGAGACCTACTTTGGCCCTTCCCGGTCTCCTCCCTCTAAAACTACCCGTTGGTTCTTCGAGATCTTGTTAGTCCGCACACTACTCGACTAGTGCTACAAAAGGCGCAAGGTATTGACTTTGGCCAGATGGTGTTTCTTGTGACGGTGTTCCAGAAATCCCGTCAAAATCCGGAACGGAACGGAAAAAGTACTAAATTACTCATAAAATGACATGCTGCATCCGAATTTCGACTTAGTTCGGAGTCAATATGTATTAGTAACTGAGGATTTTGACGGGAAGAAATATGCAACTTTGTATGCTCTTTCCAGCTAGTAGTATGAGAACGCTTGATAGGACCAGATAAGGTCAGATTTCGCTCTTCTGGCACCCCTAAAAACGCTTCAATTCAGAACTTATAGCCGATGAAAAACCGTGTTCAGAATAATTTTTCTATGCGGCGACAGAGGCCTTTACATACCCTTAGTAGGACTATCGATTACATATAGTCAAACCTTCCCGGCTTTTAGCTCATGTAATACTGGGCGGACCTGTGCGGAATTACCCTTTGGGTATGACGCGCCTCAGCAGGAGAACTTTCAAATTGTGAATTTTGTAGTTCTACCCCGTGCGCAATTTCTGGCAAACATTGAGACTTGGTCACCTATCCTGTGTGACACACGGCTCAAAATACTGGAAGACATCGAAGCCGAAAAGCCGTAGAAATTAATGAAAAGTCAAATTTTTCTCCGCCAGTACGGGGCGGATTGGGGGGGGGTTGGATATAGGGCCTTGTAGCCCAAGACGAGATCTATAAAATTGTATAGAGAGAATATGTCGTTTTGATTTTTCTGGGTGGCAGTAAGTTCGGCATCGATCCCAATGGCTATCATGACGCTCGACCAGTATATTGACCCTAGATCCTGTAAGCTTAGATAAAAAAAGGAATTTGTTATATACCATTCGACGTGCCGCGAGCTGTTCTACAAAACTGCATATTTGGTTTCATGGTTCAAGGGAAGCACCAAATCCGACAGGGTCCTTTATTCCGTAATATTTTTCCAAAGCAGAAATTCCATAGACAGACCGAACATGTACAAACACACGTGCATCTTTTCAATCAATTACACATTAGCAAGTTCATAGACGTCGGTTGTTGTTAATTCTCTTGAGTAGAGGCGAAACTCATCTATAGCTCCATAATATTGACCTGCTACAACTTGTCCTGCAGAACACGAGGCGCCGCTTATATAATTGGCTAAAATAATTGTATCTTTCTTCCCACTAGCAGAATAACTAAATGTTTTCGTGGAGTTATAATAAGCGCCATTGATGTACATTGTGATACCATTTGTCACACTAAACGTTTGAACTATATGTGTCCATAAGTTTACAGACATACTTGGACCAAGAATACCGACAGCTACACCATTCCAAGCTTGAGTCACAATTCGACCAAGCGAAGTTAACCCGATGAATGGCATTCCCCAATTTGTGCCATTTATTCCACCAGATACATGAGCAATTGTTCCTCCGCTCAAGGAAGTAGGTTTAATCCACAAGGCGATCGAAAAGGATTGATTACTTACACCTAACTGTGTGAAACCGGTTCCTCTAAAATAGCCGTTGCTAGCAAATGATAGCGCTTGA